ATATACTATATATATATATATATATATATATATATATATATATATATATATATATATATATAAGTGCCTTATGATAAATAAACAGATAACAGATTATCGAAAAGCCATCACTTTATTTCTTTCTTACTTATTTATGCTTTATATGCCATGAAATTTCTGCTTCTTTATAAACCAACGTCCGTCATATTATTTACTTCAACCAGGTAGCCTTTAAAAAAAACGATTTTTAGAAGCCATTTGTTGTCCACCGTCAGCTATCGGTAAGACATATGTTTACCGCTCAGTAATATGATACGTAATTGAATGTTTCCGCGAAGTGAAATATCCTTTATGTTAGCAAAAGTTCGGATCAAATAGCTTTGAAGCACTTTCATTAACCTATCCTTTCTTCTTCTTCTGTGCCCTACCCTACTGGTCGACGGCTGTAGTATAGTCGTGCAGTTCCTGACCTAGCAACACTTATTGGGACATTTTATTCCCTTACCTAAATATCTGTTTGAATTATTTTGCAAAAAGACTATGCTAAAAGATCGAAATGCAATAAGAAATGTATGTGATATCTTCATTGTCAAATGTCACAGCAATCTATCTTCTCATAACTGTCGACTGAACGGTTTACAGTCCTGTGTTTAATAGTTCGCCTTCAATGTTGCCTCATTTGCATATTAAATGGTATGCAAAACTCCTCGGATCATTTACTTCGTTTAGTGCAGTAAATAATGACAATAAAGAACGCATATACAGTTATTACTTTTTGTATGACATCGAATTGAACCAACTGAAGAATTGGAGAGATACTGGAAAGAAACAAAATATGAAATAGAACTCTTTGAGTGTTTGAAAAGCGGCCGGACAGGAACCAATGACAACAGAAAAGTGTTCTCGAAATAGCATTGTAAGGAAAGAGAAACATTATCAGCGAATCTTAGCCAGACGGCTAAGAGTTCTGCAAAAATGGACAAGAAAATTTGGGATGCTGCCCATCACCGATTGCAAAAGTAGGAGATTGACCCAGTTCTTTTATTCTGTCATTCTTGTGTTCGAATGAGTATATTTTATCAAATTACCAATAAGTCAGCTGTTCATAATTAATTAAAATCATTTGAATGTTATTATCAGTCTAAAAGCAACAAGCACATGAATACACAGAAAATGGGTAAATGCAATTATCAGATCAGTAAAACTGTATTGATGCTGTTGCTATCTCTGTTGTTGCTGTGAAGAGGATTATCGCCATCGGAGAGGTCCATGCACCGATAACTGACCTATACAGTGGCCACTAATCGGTGTCCGTTTATCCACTTCACACATTGATGCCAGAAGGTAAGAAGTTTCTAGGCTGGGTATTTTGAGAGAACAGCGAAGAAAGTAGCAGTGCACAGACAGACAGGCAGGTGGTCCTCCTAGAAGACCCTTAAAAAGAGCACCGCGGGGTGCCCCACCCATACGAATGTTTGCACCAGAAGGGACAGATGATGCGGGGGTTAATGAGGAAGAGGGATTAAGTAAATTCCAAGCTAGTCCAACTCGCTGAAGATATTTTTTGACCTTAAACAATAGCTCAGCTTACGCAATCTGAATTAACACCTTCCCGTTAGCACCATATCCATCCAGTCCTCTCCGTTTCATTTGCTGACGCAATAGAGTTTGTAACACATTAGTAATATACCATGTTATTCCATTTTTAACGGGCACTTCCACTGATCTTGCAATAATTTGTCATTAAAAAAATACAAACAGCATTTTCCGGGACAATTTTTTTGCATATACTACAACTCGGCTTTCAAGAATATTTCTGTTTGTCTCGACCATTTTAAAGCTTTTAATTTTTACTTCCCATAATTGTCATCATGTCACCTTGGTAATATTGCGATTGGCAAGTGGAAGACTGACGAAGATAAGGAGCGTGTAACAGGGTTTTATTCTCTAATTCAATTCTAAGGTTTTATCCTCAACTATCATTTTAAATTCTTAACTATCATTTTAAACAGGATGCAAAAATCTTAAAATTAGGAGTGGAATGAATTAAGCATACGGAATAATTCCAAATTTTTTGTTTCCATTTCATTTCGCCATTTTGAAAGTCTCGTTTTATTATCATTTATTCGATATTTCAATTGTACTATTGTTCTTTCTTCTTAAGCTTCCTTTACCTTCCCAATGTTTATTTTCCAAACAATCTGAAAAAATCAACCACTTGTTCACGTCTACATCATAACACGTGTTTTTGAAGGAGGAGGAAGTATGTTTAATACCTGCTAACTCATACATCGTTGTACAAGTAACCAATGAAGCGGAATAGACCAGTTCACCGCAGTCCTTTCGGAATGTGGTGAATGTTAAGAGGTCATTTTTAGGCATTTCATTAAACTCTAAGTTTCCAATCTTATGCCTCAGCGGTGAGATTGCGATTTTCGCACCAACTCCTCCAACGTGGTGTACTGCGTTCATATTGGGCTGAGCCTTCAAATGGATATCAAATAGTGTGGGTTGAGGTTGTAAAAATGGGTTCAGAGGTACGTCTAGGTTTGATGTTGGTGTTGGGAAGCTGTGAGTTATATATTAGGGTATTTTGCAAAGCTCCCGGCGTATAAAATATTTTTTTGTTATCCCAAAGTTTCATGTATTCTTATAAAGAATTTTAGGATAGAAAAACGTACAACTGTTTCTATGGGTGTTCCAGCATTTTTTCGGTGGTTGACTCGCAAATATCCATCGGTGATTGTTGATGCTGTAGAGGAGAAGCCACGTGATATGAATGGAGTTCGAATTCCCGTTAATACAGTCGACCCAAATCCTAATTTTCAGGTGCTTCAGTAGAATGTTCACCGTATAATCCGGTGTACAGATCCACAGATCTTTTGAGCTGCTAACCCATCTAATTATGGAATATAGCTGTAGCGAGCGAATGGCGATAATGTACCAATAAAGTTTATTTCAGGAATTCGATAATTTATACCTGGACATGAATGGTATTATTCATCCATGTACTCATCCAGAGGATCGACCCTCTCCCAAAACGGAAGAGGAAATGTTTGTTAGTTTTGGATGACGAAATAATTTTTCTATACTAATCGAAATGCAATTTGCCATTTTTCTACCTGTCTCTCTCTTATAATTAATAATATAAAATATTCTGTACCATTCTTGCCTTCACTTTAATGTTTGTTAAATGAACCTAATTACTGTTTATACTTTTGTTTGCATAAAGTTCTTTTCAGACGCTAATTTTCGAATATATAGATCGGTTATTTGCAATTGTTCGTCCTCGTAAACTTCTATATATGGCAATTGATGGTGTGGCTCCAAGAGCAAAGGTCACTGTTTTGGGACATATATGATAATTCGATTTGTATGAAAATGCTAATTTATATAAAAATTTCGAATACAGTTACGCATTGTTCTTGCTTTCCCCAAATTTCATTGGGTTCGAAGGAACTAATTCATAATAAGCATCTTCTTTTCACAAACTAACAAAAGTTGTTTAAGATGAACCAGCAGCGTAGCAGACGTTTTCGTGCCTCCAAGGAAGCTATCGAAAAAGTTGAACAAATTGCTGAAACAAGATCACGACTAGAAAGTGAAGGTTATCCGTTACCTCCCGAAAAAAAAAGGAGCATTTCGATAGTAACTGCATAACACCGGGTACACCGTTCATGGCACGGTTAGTTGTTTAAACTTCATGAATTTCACCATTTTTTTAGCAGTTGTCCAACTATAGTTTCATTGGAATTTTTGAGCTCATTTTAAGAATTATCTTGCAGGTTGGCTGTTGCTCTTCGTTATTATGTCCATCAACGACTGAATAGCGATCCAGGTTGGGAAAAAGTCGCGGTATAGTTTGTCATAATCTGTTTTTTTTTTGTCTTTTGGAATTGTTTTCTTTTTTTGCTTTTGAAATTGAATAATTTTTTGTTTTTTCGGTTTTTTTGTTTTTTGAAATTGGAATGATCTTTGAATTTACTGTATAACTAAGAGCTGGCAGAGATATCGAAGGTTTTAAAAAGCTAAAGATGAGAGTCGTACGTTTCTGTATTTTTTGGTGTTTTTTTAGCTGATCAGATAAATAAATTTAAGGTTATCTTATCAGATGCAAATGTACCAGGAGAAGGTGAACACAAAATCATGGATTTTATACGACGACAAAGAGCATCTCCATCTCACGATCCTAATACCGTACACTGTTTGTGTGGAGCAGATGCGGATTTGATTATGTTAGGACTAGCTACTCACGAACCCAATTTCAACATAATAAGAGAGGAATTTATGCCGAATCAACAGAGGCCATGTGATCTTTGTGGGCAATATGGTCATGATTTAAATGACTGCAAAGGGTTACTTTTTCTGCTTTTTGCTTATCTGCGAAAACAACATTTTAGTGGAAGGTTCAAAATAAAGTGAACTAATCTTATCAGTTTTATTTTTATTTAGATTCATGTTGAAAAAAAATCTTGATGTTAAAAGTCTAAAGTTCCAGATTGGCGCTTGACGACGATTCGGAATGCCAGTCATCTCCATTACAAAAAGAAACAAATTTCATATTCGTTCGCTTGCCTGTGCTTCGTGAATACCTCGAACGTGAATTGCACATACCTAATTCTTCTATTCCGTTTGATCTGGAGCGTGCGATCGATGATTGGGTCAGATTTTTAACTTAAATATTTCACAAGATATTCAACAGCGCACTGAATCAAGTGAAATGGATGACATGAAAATAATTTTGGGCAGTGAAGAATTTTAAATCTCGAAGTAATTTGAATTTAAAAGTAGAATTCGTAGCGTTTAATGATCAAAAGGTTTACTTTCTTTCTTGATCAGTTTATTTTCTTTACTAATTAAATAGTTTTACATTATTGCTGTCTTTTCTACTTTATAGTTCTTGTAATTTGAGCGCTAGGAAGATTTTGAATTGATCTCTGTAGAGGAGTTCATTTTTATCTATTCAGGTATTCATGTGCTTCTTTGTTGGCAACGATTTTCTACCTCATTTACCTTCACTAGAAATTCGGGAGAACGCTATTGATAGACTTGTGAAATTGTACAAAGATATGGTTTATGAAATGAAAGGGTATTATTTTATCATTTTTGACATTCGTCTGTTGACGATTAGGAGTCGATAAGAGCAACACTTAAAATACTTTTTTCTCCATTCAGTTCCGATCCTTGTCGGAAGGTTATTCGAAAATTATAGTTACCCATTTTCATAATTTAATTGTCCATTGCTGATTACTTAAATCCATTAGTGTCATTTTTAGTAATTGTGCGTTTTCTTTGTTGCTTACTAACTGTCATTTCTTATTTTTTCTCTTAGTTACATCTTTGCAGACATCTCACTGATTCTGGCGTTGTCCATATTGAAAGGGCTCAAATCATACTTAATAAATTAGGTGAAGTAGAGGATGAAATTTTCAAGTCGAGGCAGGTTGGTTGCCACTTTTAATGAAGCTTTAGCTTTACTTTTTGTCAACTAAGCACAGTTACCTTCGCTATTTCTCTGTAACTCTTAGCGAACATGGTCCTTTTTTAATTTTTAGTACTGTTTTTTTTGTTTTTTGATGTTTTTAAACGAGTATCATTAAGGAAAGGGAGCAACAATTTAAAAGAAAAAACAAAGAAAAGAAACGACGTGAAAAAGCCCTTATGACACCGTCATACATCTCATCTCGAGGTTCTTTTCTCGCACCACAAACTAATGGACCGATTTGTCTCAGTGGATCCAATACTAGAGCAATGGCGCGCACTTCTCGGTTAGAGGTAATATGAAACATCTTTAAACTGCACGGAGCAGTTTTACCCAATTTTTGTCCTTCGGCTTAGTGACTGGCGGCATATCTTGTTGCGTTATTTTAATAAATTTTTAATAATTATTTCCAATAAACATTTTCACATTTTAATAAAACAGCACATCAGGTCTTATGTATTTTCATAATTTGCACTCTCTATCGCAAGCGGTATACTTTCAATTCGGTATACTTCAGGCACTTGATTTCATCGAAACACTACATGTTCCTGGTATTAGTGTATCTGAAAACAGTTGTCATAGACACGAACTAGTTAGGAATTTTTCTTTTCTTCATCACTGAATCCTGTAGTTTTTGAAGATATTTCAAATGATTTTACGTTTTTAATGTTTTATGAATTGATATGTCTGTCCAACCTCCTAATTCGTATATATTTCTTCAGAAAGATGATTCCAGCTCAGAGGACGAAGTTTTTGACGAAGTGAGACTATGGGAAGACGGGTGGAAGGATCGATATTATAAAAGCAAATTCCAAGTAGACGGCAAAGATATTGTATTCAGACGTAAAGTTGCTCTGGCGTATGTAGAAGGCCTTTGCTGGGTATTACATTATTATTATCAGGTTAGTAGCAATAAGGCATCCTTTCCATTTTGTATAGATAATAAAGTGTTGGGGATTTCATGTTAGCAAGTCTTCAAGTTTCAGGGCTGCGCAAGTTGGGACTGGTACTATCCATTTCATTACGCGCCATTCGCATCAGATTTTGATGCAGTTTCTCAATTCAAACCTGATTTCAGTGCATGCACTGAACCTTTTAAGCCGCTACAACAGCTGATGAGTGTCTTTCCAGCTGCAAGCAGGTATGTCTAAAAGAAAAGGGATAACCTTATTAAAGCAGAAGGATGTTAGACAAACAAGATTGCCGGTATGAATTCTTCAAAGAAGAATTAAAGGCAGCAAATATTTGATATATTAACAGTAGATGTCTTTGTTATTCTAACTACATACAGTTATTCTGCATTTGTGGAAAAATATTTCTTAAATATGTATTCTTTAATGTGAAAAAAGTGATTGGTTATAGAACTGATTATAGATTTTGATTTATATCCAGTGAAGGGCAAAAAAAATATTTAAATCTTGCAACATTTAGGAAACTAGAATTAGGATTGTTCTAATTTCTTTCAAAGAAAAAAGTGAGCAATAGAAGAAATGGGTTTACATTTTTATCAAGACCAGGAGCATGAACCTTCCTCAATGAACCTTCTTCAAGTACATTGATATATTAGTAGTGGATGCCTGTTATTCCAACTGCATACAGCTATTCTGCATTTGTGGAAAAATATTTTTTTAATGTATATTCTTTATTATAAAGAAAATGATTGGTTATAGAACTGATTATAGATTTTGATTTATATCCAATGAAGGGCAAAAAAAGAAATATTTGAATCTTGTAACATTTAGGGTTTTAGGGTGCATTTACCGGAAGCTTGGCAAGAACTGATGATATCACCAACCTCGCCAATAATCGATTTTTATCCTGATAATTTTGTTATTGACTTAAATGGTAAAAAGTGTGCGTGGCAAGGAGTTGCGTTATTACCCTTTGTGGATGAGAAACGACTTCTGGAAGTTTTGAAGCCGGTTCCTTTTTTCACCAGTTGTCAGTAGAACAGTAAAATCTTTTACATAAGTTTGAAGATTTGGTCATCCAATAAAACTGGAATTAGGATTGTTCCAATTTTTTTTAAAGAAAAAAGTGAACAATAGAAGAAATGGGTTTACATTTTTATCAAGTTACAAGGAGATGAACCTTCCTCAATGAACCTTTTTCAATATGATGCATAGAACTAGCCTATTCAATTTTATGTTCGATTAGAATCTTGTCACTTTAGTTTTTTCTACCATCTATCGGACGTGAGATTTTTCATGTCATAGTTTTTTGAAGATGGAAGATAAACTGGACGCTTTTGAAAAGGAAAGAAATTCCAGAGGTCCTGATAGGCTATTTGTTGGACCTTCCCATCCTTTCTACAAATTTGCGGAAGAGTTATATGAAAACAGTAAAGAAGGTACCGTATTTCTATTCGATTTGTCCATTCAATTTTAACTACCCCAACATAATGGTTATTAAACTTGAATATCACCTGGACATACAGTAAGGCAATAAGAGCGATATGTTTGCAGTGTTAAGACGCTTGTAAAAAAACCTCAAACCCTCTAGATCCTTTAAAAGGCAAAACAAATTTTTTTTCTATACATATATATATATATATATATATATATATATT